GCCTGTCCTACCCCTCCCAGCAGTTGCCTTTCCCCAGGGCACCACCTGCCCTGCCCTCTACCTACTCAGCTTGTTCCCTTCAGCCTCCCATTAGCTCCCTACCTACTGCCCAGTGCGCCCTTGTCCCCTCCTCGAGCACTCATGTCCCTACCCACCCTTTTTTTTAGTTTGTGCCCCCCACCCATGTTCACTGCAGCCTCTGGGCTACGCTCTTTGTCTCGGGGGCAGTTGGTGCATGCGCTGCCCCCTCCCAGGCGGATTCCAGATGCCACGTCCTCCCCCTTCTTCTTCCTCCCTCCTCCCCTGGGCCGCCCGGACATACCCAAGGCCCTGGCGCTCCTGCCTCCCCTCACGACACACCCCCCCCCCCCCCCCCTCCCCCCCCCCCCCCCCCACCCCCCCCCCCACCCCCCCCCCCCCCCCCCCCCCCCCCCCCCCCCCCCCCCCCCCACACCCCCCCACACCCTCTGCCCCAACTGCTGCCTCCAGTTCCATCCCTGGCAGCTGGGGCCCATTCCCTTCCTTGACCAGGAAGTACGGTGTCTGCTGCCTCTTGTTACCTGTCTCACCTCACATCGAAACTTATGTGCGGGCGCTGGCAAGGGTGGTGGCGTCCTCGGCCATGGTGGCAGCCTCCAAAATGTATGGCAAGGTTGTGTTCTTCCTTGCCTCAGAAGTTGCCACCCAGGAGGCAGTGGAGAGCGGCCTGGCAGTGGGGGGTGTGCATGTGCCCCTCGAGCCATTGGAGGACCTGGGCGCATGGGTGGTCCTTACCTCTGTCCCAACTTTCCTCCCCAAAGCTGTCCTGTTTCCTGCCCTCTTCACACTGGAGAGGCCCATCTCCACCATCAGCCCTCTCCTCCATCACATCCTGTCCTTCTGCTGGCAGGTACAACTGCAAATGCTGCTGGCGGCACGTGATGGGGTGGCACTCGAGGGCTCCTTCCTGGTGTCCTACCAGGGGGCCCATTACCGGGTCTACTACTCTTCAGGGGAGGTCCGGTGCTTACTTTTCTGGGTGATGGGGCATGTCTGGAGGGCTTCCCCTGTCCCAGTTCAAGGAGGTGTCCGGGACCCCCAGGGCCCGGGAGTGCGCCGGCCCTACTACCGCCAGCAACCCTGGTAGCGCGGCTTCCACGGCTGCC